CGCTTTTATCGCGAACACAGTTTTTACTGGAAAAATCGTCTAGCAAATCTTTACAAAACGACTGCAGGCGGTTCAAATTAATCGCGAGACTTATTAAATTGCTATAAGACGCTTCGGGAAACAATTCTTCACGGTTTAGATATATTTAATACCGAATTTTCCAAAGAATTTCTAGTGTTTACATAAACGTAACGAATAATTTCTTGTTATTTCAAGAAAATTAGGTGTCGCAAAAACGGAATAGCCGATTCAATTTCGTGCGAACAGAAACGAGAGCCTCGTGGGTACCAAATTACGAGACGGCGTTGTTGTAAAATCTAATTTTGCACGGTGGCGCTGCTGCGGGAATATTCGCGAGAGGCTGAATCGCTGATTCAGGTGGATCATCAATCTTGGTCGGCTAGGCTGAGAAGGGACACGAAGCCAGAGTAGCGCGTTTCGATCGTCAAAATCGTCTCTGAACTTTTATACAAAACTTCATCCACCAATCGAGTATTGCAAGTTGGAAGCAACGATTCCAATGAGTATTTTGTCATATACGTTTGAGGTCTTACTAATAGACTGTGAATATTGGAAGTTATCAGAAAGTTGCGAGTGTTCTTAAAAGTATTACTCTTCGTTAAAATTACACGATATACTCATATGTATGTATATTCCATTAGCCTCCAAGTTCCTGTCTACATTACATAAATAAATTGTCCTGATAAGGGTCAAGGATTCTTTTATGTTCTAAGTTAAATAAAAACTTTCCTCAATTTCGTTCAACTATCTGTAGTTAACACTGTGTTAATACTGTGTACTATAGAGACCCGAGTATATCATAAATACATAAAATACACAGTCCACTTATGAACCCCGTATGATAGTTAATTTTTAAAGAGTATAATATGAAATTTACCATCTCCAAGTTTAGCCTCATCTTCAGGATCGCGACCTCTGAGAAGCCTGGAGATCGCAGAAACGCTAGGGGCGCTGGTTCGGTCGCAGATCCCTTCCTTGATGAGTCTATCGCGGATTTCCCAGGAGAAAATTCCAGGATTGTCCCGTTTGTAGTCCTCGATTCTGGCCTCGACTTCCGGTGTGGCTACTCGCGGCTTGCTGCCACCGATCACGCCTGGCCTGATGCTACCGGTCTCTTGGTATCGGTTCAGGATTTTCGAAACGCATCCATGGGATACCCTCAATTGTCTGTCCAAGTGTAAAATAAAATTCTAAATTAATTATCACATAATCTCTACTCTCCCTTGTATCAGAGATTTTTTGGTACAGACGTAAGTACATTATAGTTAAGGCGCGATAAGCACGTTAAATGAAATTAATTCAAAGTTAATTACCTAGAAATAACGCACGGCCTGACACCAGCGGCCGCCATCTCGACGATTTTCAAGCGAATGTGGTTCGGCAACGGGCGTCCGTTTATGAAGACGCCACCGAGCTGATTCACGCGTCCCTGGCCTGGTATCGACCCTAAATCTGCGACAGAAAATTCATCAAATGTTACTTTAAAATTGGCGTGGGTTCTTTTGTTTCCACAAGTGCGCGAACGAGGCGAGAGAACAGTTACCTACTCGATGGAGAATAAAGAGAAACCTGGATTTATCGTTTCACCTTCACCTCGACGTGTTTCCTGCGTGTCGTGGGGGAGGAGAAGAAGGTAGGGACGGAAGGGGAGAGGAGGAAGAAAGAGAGCCGACCGAGAAGGAAAGAGTTATTGGCTGGTCACCATGGTCCCATAAATAACGATAAGACCAATGAATGCTAAGGGTTTATGACATACTACTGATAACGTATCATTTTTCTGATCGACTGTAATCCCGATCGAAAGGGACTGTGTTTTCATTTCAAGTAATTTTCTTTTATTCGAGCTTCAATATGTCCAAGACAGTCTACGTAGGTATGTTATACAATACATAAATTATGAAAAACCTGATGCCCCTAATTTTCCCAGGTTCCTCGATCCTCGATTACTTATCCCACAGACCTAGATCTACTTTCCAGGCGAATTTTTGCACTCTCCCTCCAGAAGCGCCTTGAACCGAAACTAAAAACACGGCTGCTGCTAATTCGAACGTAACACCGTCCGTTTTATATCCTCGATCGCGATCGAACATCGCAAAAACGACGTCCAACACATCGAGACACCTGTGTGACTCACTTTTCCGCGCGCGGTAACGAGAGGAAAAACGTAGTCTCTCCCAATGACGATGGAACGCGCTGTCTGGGCGTCGATGCGAGACATCGTGAGATGAAAAAAAAAAAATAAAGAAAATAAAGGTCCACTATAATTTATCGTGTGACAGTCAGACGTAACTACTGGTTTGGTGGTGAAAAAAAAAGATGTTCACACGGTCGAGCAAAACTTCGTGAACACGTATTATCGAATAAATTTAAATCGGATGAAAAAGTCACGAAAGTCTTTCGGCGAAGATCGAATAAAAAATTGAGCAGCGAGTAGCAGAATATTGTTAGAGAATTTTAATGATATTCAAGAAACATCAACGATTATCTACTCTAAATGAAAAAATATTGAAAGTTCTTCGACAAACGATCGAATAAAAAATAATCAGAGATCGGAAGGGGGTCGCGTGCTTGCAAATTGCAGTCATTTGCGGGCAAAACCGATTCTCTTCGCTTTCGATTCTTTCCTCCCTTGCGGGAAACTTTTTCGAGGATATCGCGCGGAACCCGCCAACCGAAAAACTCTGAAAAACCGTGATCCTCGTTTAACATTGTCGCCTGATTAGAAACTGACCGGGTTCCCACGGTGATCCAGAACGATCTCATGCCTCACCTTGAACAGTCGCGATGAAGAAGTACAGAAGGTGGAGAGAGATTCGATCGACCGGCGCACGCGAGTGTATGTACGTTCACGTAACGAACAAGGGACGGAAAAAAGAAAGGCGGTAGGTGGGGCAGAAAAAAAACCACAAGACGGTGGTTTCAATTGCGCAGAATCCGCGGTCGGTTGCATAACTCGCAATTTATACACCGAGGCTCAAGAGTGCAACCGGCGGCCGAAAAACGGAGAACACGATAGCGCTCGCAGCCTTCGAAATCTTAGCCTCGACGGGGGTTGAAGGAAAAAGATCGCTATTAATTAGTACCGCTAATCGAAAAACATCTGTCCCGAGGTTTTTGAATTGGTCCTCGACCCGATTTCAATCTGTTTTCAAAGTCTTGGAATTCTTTGTGAGAACAAATTGTGCCACTTTTGTAGATAGTTTATTTTTCAATGATGGAAAGCTGATTCCGTAAGATTTTTTAATTACTCCTCGATTCGATTTTGAAGTCGATATGCAGGGATGGTCTTCTCTGGTAATCTAAGGAAGCCATGAACCTTAATGTTATGGAGGGGGGGGGGGTTGGCCAAAAGTTAAATAATGTGAAATTATAATTGCTAATTGAGTGAAAATCGTGCTACTCTGTCGGCGATGTTCGACGGAGAAAAGCTAATTCCGCGATGTTAATCTAGCTCGAGAGAATTTTCGCCCTCGCGCTTCTCACGCCGCCGCCAAGATGGTTTCGACACCCACCGGTGAAATAATTAACGATCGCCGATGCAAACCGCACAACCAACCGCTCGCGTAATTGCGAAAACGCGTTCGCAACATTATTAATCTTCCAGAGAATATTTAATTACACGTTCCGCGGGCGTTAAACGCTACCATTTTGCATAGGAGCAAACGATTCCGTCGACTAATTGTCCAGCGCAATTAAACTCGCGAGCGCGCGGTCCGTGCACCTGGGGACAGTGACAAATGACGATTGTGTGCAACAAATGAAAAATGCAAAATTCAGAAGATGCCTTTCAATTTGCATTAGAATTACCTACGCCTACGACGAGCTTCCACTCGATTAATGATAATGATCCTTATCGCTCCGAGAACGCTATCTCAGTAATCGTTCTTATTTTAGTCGTTAGTCGATGATTTCATAGAATCGTACGTCTAATTGAATGTTCCGTTACGTAATTCTCGGAGGGACCAGCATGATTTCTTCGCGGTACACCATGTCTTCGCGATTCGGTCGGACATGTTGGAAAGTCGACTATACAGAGGGCCTACGTTGAAATTTACGAGGCAATAAACGAGGGTCTATTCTCGAAAATTTCGAGGAGAGTCGCTCATGAGGTCCCCGGTGTTCGAAATTTTCCGGCCAGAAGAACGAACAATACTGGACAAGTTTGACGATTTCACGGTCGATTTTCGACCAGCCCGACTGGTAACAAGCTCAGGACGGAATACCTTCGATTAATCTGAAATAAGTTTCTAATCACTTCGATTATTGATAGAGATTCAAGTTTAAGAAAATTCTGGGCCAACAAGGGAAACGGAGTAGAAACATGACCTTAAATTATTAACCCTTTAACGCCCATACCCTTAAATCGTTTTTCATTTTTTCCTTTGTTATTTATGTTTGGAGAAAATACTTGAATTTCTCAACTGAAAACGTGGAGATTCACGTACTTGTAAAATGAGGGTTGCACCGGTGTAACACTAGGCGTTAAAGGGTTAAGCAGTAAAATTTCAGACAAGATAGAGTATAAGCAACACAATTGAATTTTATGGTATAATTTTGTAATTGTTAAAGATTTCATTATTTTTCAATTCTCTTCATCGTTACAGACTATGTAATTACCAATTATAGGGGTTTGGAGGCACAACCCCTAATGTTTTTTCTACTCTAAAAAAGTAGTAGAGGCACGCAAAGTCGAGGAGCAAAAGGGAACGGAGAGCTTTCCGATGCGACGGCGTGGGGCCCCTCGAAAAATATGTTTCATTATTTATGGCCATCATTAATGGTAATGTTCCGGTCTTCTCGGGTCAGGTAAGGTTATATATCAATGGCCCGTTTAAAATCTTAAGGGTACACACCCGGTCGGTCGGATTCGGGAGAGTTTCCTGCCACCGGGCTAGTTGTAAAATTCGATTCTGAATGGTTTCCTCTGGAATATTGCACAATAATAATGCAATCCTGCTTTCTTCGCAACTTTTTGACGATGTCTACGACTGCCACGGACTTTGATCTCTCTTAAAACCAACTTGAAACTCTTCTAAATCATTTTGAAATTTTTTTAAGATCCTTTGAACTAGAATTCTGAATTGGCTACACTGATTATCAATCATTTATCAAGGGTATACAATTCTGAGAATATCTAAGAACCTGTAAAAGGATTTTCTATGCGTTCTCCAATCTTTGAGTAATGTTCCCTAGCCTCTTCGCAAACAACATTAACTATCCCACGTTCCTTTTTCTATCTACATAATGATCACACTATGATGTGAATCGCAATGAAACATTCTAAACGACACTTTTGTCATTACAAACACGTAAACGGAAATACCATTTCTGCACTATCCAACGTTATGTGTCCTCTTACCTTGAAAGGGGTATCCAGTGAAGCATGGTCGCATCATCGAGAAATTAGTGGTCACCGTCATCTCAACGCGCGTTCCGCGCTCTACCAACAGTCTTCTCACAAAACGCCACAAATGCTGTCACACCACTGTTCTTAAGGGTAGTTTCACCAATAAAAAAAAAAGAACAAAGCACCAGAGCCCGAGACACACTCGAGACCGATTCGTGACTCGACGGAAGAAAAACTGACGGAACCACGGATGCAGGATCTATCTAGGCACTGATCGGTTATCCGGTGATCACGTGGATGTCGAACTGTCACTTTGAAAAACCCTGAAGTTCCGTTCACACTGCGCTCGCAGCACCACAAAGTCCAGGATCAGTCTGCGCGCGCGGTTCAGAGTATAAGTATCCTTCGCAAAACCGTTCGACGACTCAGCTGGACCTCGACTGATCGGCTTCCTGATCCTGACTAGCCTACTCGTGCACCAACCGTCCGAGGTAACTAACGATTGGCCACTCCCATCGCGGCGACTCCGCGAGGCGACACGATGGTGGGGAGAAGCACTCGCCGGCCAGGAACGTTGGGCACTTGATTATGTACCGAGGAGCAACGTGCCACGAGACAGCTTTCCGTGTTCTACCTGTTCCCGCGGCTTCTCATCGACCAATCCAAGAACGGAACGGATCCCCTTGTCGCGCCCCCCTGAAGTCACGCCCAGGCCGCGCATGACTGGAAGCCTGCGGGGGAGGCCTCCGGAGACCATGCTGTCTTTGAACGAATGTGCCTTTTTTGGGTCCATCCCCACCTTCGGTGGGGGATCACACAACGAGGACCCGGATGAGATACTTTTCTGGGAAAGATGATTTTTCGATGAACCGAGAAGTTGATTTTTCGAGCGTTGCTCGCGGGGATGATGAATGTTCTTCGGGTGGTGAAGTATTGATTTGTATTTATTGAAAAACGAGGACCTTCGTAGAAAGATGATCGATATTAAAATGGGAAAAAAGACGCGGTTCACAAGTTATACGTACAGGCTATAAAATTGACACGGTAAAAGAAAATATATCAAGTATCATTTGGGGGATCTGAAGTGACTTTTTTCGAGTGTATGGAACTAGATGTTCCATTCGGTGCACATGGACCTGCACTTTTTCAATTTCCATAATCCAGAAAAGAAACTCGTGTCGACGCCTGTCAATTACGAGTTTATGGATGACAGATCGAGAAGAAAACTCTCGAATCCCGTAGCGGAGGTCTTGAACAACCCAGTGGAGCGCGGCAAGCGAGTTAAGCAAGAGACGAGCACAAATAACACCGACTCGATTCGAATCGTTTCCCTCCCCCTCGACTGTGGGTGTCGGGTTATTAACGCATGATCACTTCCAACTTTCGCTTTTTCGGACCACCATTCTTTTTTCACCGAGGAAATGACGATGCTCCGTCCCGTGGCAGGACGTGACACTCGACATCGTCCTAAAAAAGGCTAATTGAATCCGAAGACCCGACACGAGTTCCGATTTTCTTTCTCTGTTTTTTGTCTTTGGAAACGCGTGACAAACCACACACAGTATCCTGTGATGTGAAATGGATATTTCCTTCTCAAACGAAATTATACCACTTTTTAACAATTTTTAGTTAGGACGAATCGTGACAAATCCAACGGCTATGTTGCAAAAGAAAAACATAAAATAAAAATAACGTAAGAAAGTCAGCAAAAGATGTACATACAACGTTATAGTATATCAAAGCATGCGCTTCAGAAACAATCGAACGCTTAAAAGTACAAATATATAAATATATCGTTGCGTTGCATAAGTTCTCTTAACTTTTTATACGTTCTTTGTATCTTTTGTTATAATATATTTCTAGTCGTTGGATTTCTTATAATTTCATACTATGAATAAAAAATATTTTAAAAGTGTTGCTAATGCTGTCTTGTGGGGCCTGGGGTCCCATATCAGTGACGTTTAATTATGAAAATTTGAAATTTGGGCTAAGATACACGACATTTTCCACAAACAGTGCTAGCGAACATGTTAAGACGAAAAATAATGTTCCTAAGATCAAGTAATGGCACAGGGGGTTAATACTTCCTCTTAAAAAAAAAAAGGAAAACGTTTTTCACTTCGTAAAAAGTGTCAAGTCGAAGCAAATCAATCCGAAGATCCTGTCTATGGGACCTGTCCGTAGGTCCAGGGGTAAATCAATTCGCGTCGCAGTTACTGGCACTCACCCCCTCAGCTTATTCGAAATCATGGTTCCTGGCGGTGGCTCCCTCCCCCGTTCAATTTCCAGAAGCGTAACGTAACTCGTCGAGTCGTTGATTCGTTCCATGAGAAAATGGCGCGGATGGAAAGCCCCCGGCGAGGAAAAAAGCACGAGAAGAGCCAGGAACACGACATTGTTCCAGCCAGGGAGCGAAGGAGGATCCGTCGTCGGTGCCTCTAGCTGATGCCCCCATCAATGTTTATTATCGCCCTTGTTTGTGCGTTCCGTAGCGCGAGAATGGCCAAACAGAAGGCTGCTGCTGGAGACGACACGCATTGAGCGACACGCGGGAGGTGGCGGAAAAGCGGAAGGAAACTTCGCCAAAATGGACCGCCCGTTGTGGCAGTTTCCTCACGGTGTAATACGGTGTTACTTTTAACGGAGAGTCCTGAGGGCCCCTCCTGGGCCCCGATGGTGTCCCGCGGCGAGGACAAAACAAACTCCCTAATGTCTTCATGCTACTCATCGCGAACCATCTTCCACCAGGGGTGAGAGTGAAAGAGAGACAGAGAGTATGAAAGGAAGATGAAAGGAGATGAAAAGCAACAGCCCCTGCCGCCTCGTAGCCAGTTGGTAGCTCCTTCGAGGATTACCGCACCGAACGAGAGACACCTCTTCTTCAAGGTCGCGAGAGGAGAAGATCGTCACGGTATCGTCACAATATGTTCGCTGATTGTCGAGCGTGAAGCGGAGAATTTTCGGAATCGTCTGGAAATGGGATGAGAAGAGAGATAATTGATTTACGGGGCGATGCCTCCGTTTATTGGGAAACGGACTTCCACAACCGTTTTTGCGTGTTTGTTTACGGTGTGTCGTTGGTGGAGGAAGGTGTCGCCGCTTCGACGTCTTACTTCGATCTTTGGTTCAGGGAGAAGTATCGGTGAGAGACGCTTCTTGTGGAGGTTGAACACTACGACGTTAAAGCTTTGCAATACGATCATGAAGTACTTACAAGCACTACACTGACATTGATGCACTTTATTAACCAGTTTATTGCACGAGAAAGTAGTCCAATTCTTCCTTGTCTAAAGATGAATTAATACTTTCACACAATCCATTTAATTCATCAGAAGTAAAAACCGTCTCTGCTTTGTTCACTGGTTACTTCGGATTTCGGATGTTCACTTTGGAAAAAATGCAAATGAAAACAATCTTTCTACCTTTCAATATGAATGAATCATTTGCGTTGCACACCTGAAGTGGAAAATCTAAATTCGTCTTAACAACATTTAATTTATATTGTACTACATTTTTAGTAGGCAATACTATCGCGTATATATATTTATATATATATAAATATATATATATATATATAAATGAGAAAAAAAAATAAAACGATCCATATGGAAATAGTATAGTGCTTTCCACGACGTCACGGTTACACTGTATTCCATCTACCTATACGAATATCCCTATCACGTCCCCGCTGTCATTACCAGCCGTTGAAAAAAAGGCGGCGAATCCCTTGACGCGACGATAGGTAACCGATCCACGATATAATATCGAGCGCAAAAAAAGAAACCCAACAGGTCACCCAGCGACGCGACGCAAGTGTGAAACAGCGGTGGTGCGATACCTATCGCGGTCTCATGGGGAGCCATGAAAGGGGGCGTGTGTGTGTCGGGAACCCGGCAAATAAATGCAAATTGCCTCAGAGCACGCCGATCCGCCTACCCGACACAAAAGACAACAGCCCCCGGAAGACCGTTAAGCCGTAAATAATCCACCCCCTTCTAGCATCCAACCTCCTTCCTCCTCGTATCTCCCACTCCCACCCTCTTTCTCTCATTTTTCCATTCATCGTGGAGGGCTCGATGTGTAAATAAGGGGGATCGTAAATATCCAGGCGGGGCTCCCATGGTATAATGGATCCACATGAAGATGCGGTTCGATGCTAAACCGTAAATCATCGGTGTTTCCTGTGGTTTTGAGGAATCGGCTACCGGAGACGACGACGATCTGAGAAATTGCGGTTTCAGGACGTTCAGTGCTTGTGGTCGGGCAAGTCATTGTTCGCAGTACTCGATTCCGTCGTTTCTGGTCGGCGATTGTTTGGGACACAATCATCGGTAGCTACTATCCTCCGCTACGAAGACTAATGGCGGAGATGAACGGTGAGTTTGGGAAAGAAGCGGGGATTTATAGGGAACTGTGGAGGCAACTATGTGGGTACATATCGCTCAGTTGCTGCAATAACTACATACAATAGACAACAAGTATATTGTTATCTCTAGTTAGAGAAGTAGTAGATTATTGATACCCCTGATAATTCAAAAAATTCTGTACAAACTTCTGCTTAATGGTAAAGGAAGACTTGGAGAATTGCAATCGATGTAGGACTGTCCAGTAGAAGGTACCTGTGTCCTCCTTTAATCAGCAGGCTCTTTGCCATCGAAAATTTTTCAAGGAAGGGGGTCACAATGAGATCGATCTCGACACGGAGGGCCACGGAGCGGCCGTCCAAAAAGTTGATTTTTTGCCAGCAAACAACCCGGCTGCCAAGGGTATTCTTTGTCGGTCCACAAGAAGGGATTTCAATGCGACTTTGACGAGGATGTTGACAGATTCGCAGCAGCAAGACCGTAGGGGGTTCTCTCTTCTCGACTATAGTGTCTCGGATGTTGTCGGTAGTCGATCTCGTGTTAGCTTCCGAAAGAAAGGAGAATTTTGACGTCGGCCTCGCCTTTGCCAGCAAATTATTGCCTCGAAAGGAGGAAGTGACGAGTAACATAAAAAAAAGAAAAAAAAAATGAACGTGTCTCAATAGGTACCGGTTTCTTTGATCGCGAAATTGCTAATTTTTTAAGGCCG